GACTGGATTGTTCAAAGAATTAGTTTGTAGGACTTCTTCCAGTCTTTCAGTTTGACAGGGCCTTGTCTAACCTCTCTGCTTTATATTATAATTTTAATTTCTATCCTCTGGAAGTCCCCATTAGCTACTCTGAGAGTAGAAGATAAATTCAAGCTGTTTTTCATATCCCCAAATTAAATAAAATCTTATAGCAAATTATTTATTCAGCAGAGAAATAAAATGTCAGTGTTGTTCATTAGAAGAAGACTTTAGTGTTTCAGTTTTCAAAGAGAAAATAAATAGTTATTGGCATTTTTTATAGTTTGTATAGCTATATTCTTAACTAATGGGATGTTTACTGACTCTTTTCTTTCTAAATAGGACAAGAATATCAGAGAATTGAGTTTGGTGTTAACGAAGTAATTGAACCCAATGACACTTTGCAGAGAACTCCCAACTACAGTATTTCAAGCACATTGAACCCTCAGGCCCCTGAATTTATTCTTAGTTGCACAACTTCCAAAAAGACCCCTGGTGACATAGATAAAGAAGCCAACTACAGCTCCATTGACTGCCAGTACCCAGGCTCTGCCCTTGATCTGGATGGCAGTTCCAACGCAGAAGCAGAAGTTCTGGAAAGCGATGGCACCTCGGGTGGTCTTGGACAAAGGGAGCGGAGAAAGAAGAAAAAGCGTCCACCTGGCTATTATAGTTCCTTGAAAGATGGCTGCGAGGGTACCATTTCCACGGAAGCCCTGGTCAATGGCCATGCCAGTTTAACCATCCTGAACAGAATATGCACAGAGGATGCAGAGTTGATGAGCAGTATGCCCTTGCTGAGAACACCCAGGACTTGTAGCAGCCCTCAGGACTCCACAGACTTCGTCAGTGGTGCTGTGCCTGGAGGTTCTTTCCCTGGGGCCCTGGACTGCGATGCTAGGACTGAAGGGCAACCTGAGGGCTGCCAGGGGCCTGACTTTGAACAGTCCTGCCTTCCTGCAGAGGCTGACAGGGACAGCCTGTTGAGGACAGCTGTGGCTCACCCTTATGTTGGGACTGATACTACTGAAAACCTTGGCGTAACTAATGGACAAATACTTGAATCCTTGGGTGAGGGCTCAGCTGCCAACGGGATGGAGTTGCACACTGTGGAAAGCACGGACTCGGACCCAGCTAAGGCCGAGAGCACTTCCCCTCCCACCGAGGCCCTGGCCTCTGTGGTGGGCACCACTCCTGTCAGTCAGCCTAAGTCATGGGCCAGTCTTTTCCATGATTCTAAGCCCTCTTCCTCCTCACCTGTGGCTTCTGTGGAAACTAATTATTCCCTTCCTGCCACATCTCCCCTGGTCTCTGAAAAGCAGGCTGAAATCAAGGAAGGGCTTGTTCCAGTTTCAGAGGATCCTGTAGCCATAAAGATTGCAGGTATAGTTCAAAAGATACAGATCGAAAGTGAAGAGGGGAGCAGATCTCATCACCTGTTGAGTGAGAAGTTTTCAACAGTCTGGGCTTACGAACTGTGGTGATAGATTGTTACCCAGAGCAATAGTAGGTTATCTGTTTGTTAATAGGAGTTTCTGTAGAATGCCTGTGCCTTACATGTTATCTAAAATAATATATAAACAAAATGAGAGGGGGCTGTCATAGCTTTATGTTAATTGAAAAATCTGTCTGTTACCAGTCCTTTTCTATTGGCAAATACATTTCCATTTCTTGCCCTTTGATCAAGTATTTCGATTCCATTGTGACTTGTCCTATCTGTTACATCTATTGTACACCTTTGGTATAATTCACTTTGCATTGTTTCTATATTTTTTAGATACAAGAAAGCATTTGGTTTTTTTTTTTCTTTTTCTTTTTTTTAAATGCCTGTTTTGAGTAAATGGATTTTACTTAGTTTTAACACATCAAAGTTAGCTCTTGACACAAAAAGAAAATCTAACAGCTTGACTCAAAGTTAAGGTTTTATTTTGAAGTGGTAAGACTTAAAAGTGAACCAATTCAAAATACAAATGTAAAGCTGCATAGTTTGCAACTTTTTAAATTAAGGTAGGAAGTCGTAAATACAGAGGAGCATCTATGTTTATATGTATCTAGGAAGCCAGAGCTATTTCTTCAGGTTTCATCATACCATGCTTAGTAGCCTATTCAGCTTCCTATTCCATTATCCGAGTTAAAATAACCTGTCTTACTGAGGCTTCATGTGATACCTTCTGATTTAACATTTTGGAGCACCTGAGAGCATTACCAGGGATGAGGAATAATGCAGTAGAAAGCTCTAAAATGTATACCCTTTTATGAATGGTCAGAACTCCGTCAACTGTAACCATTCTTTTTTGATGGTCAGAATTACATCAAATATAAAACATTCTTTTGATGGCAGTAAGATGACAGCAATCAATACTTTTTATTTTAAGTGAGCATTTTATTCCTTATACAAAAACACATTATTTACTCTTGGTGTCTGCAGTTCTCTTAAAATAAGGAGGTAATTGATGGCCAGACATCATTTTGGATTTCATACCTATTTTTAAAAGACAGGTGATTTTTTTTTTTTATAACTTTTAGAAATTATTCATTGCAAGGGAATGTTGTTAACAGGATAAGACAGTATAAATTTGTATAGATTAAGTTAAAAGCTTATTTTAAGCTATAATGATAAGTGCATAGTAGGATGCTTTTAAAAATGTGCATTCTAAGTTGAAAGTCTTGAAGTCATTGTAGTTATACTTTTATTCCTAAAAATTACTTCACAAAGGAAAACCTCTCATTCCTGGGGAATTTTCTTAATCTTTAGTTACAATACGAAAGGAAAGCTTTATTTCAAATGTTTTAAAACATTACAGGCATATAACTTTAAATGTGGTTTGATACATAGTTTGCTTTGTTCTACGTGTGTTAAAGTCTATTTAACTTGCTAAATCTAATGTTAACCTGCCTTGTAAACAAACTGCTGTGTATGTAGGAGCTCTTAGTTACTGTATCAGTGGCGAGCATTGCTACAATCCAAGTAATTATTTTTGAATGAATGTGATGTGTCTCTTTCCCATTGCTCCCCCATTTTATTTTCTTAATCCTATTTTGATTAGGCCAGTTACAAAGATGAATTAATTATCTGAGCAAAAGTTTAGTTCCTTTAAAAATATTTTATTCTTTTGAGTCTGTTTATTGAACCTTAGAAGTGTAGAACATGGTTTGCTGACTGTTCTCAGTATTACTTTCTGTAAGATAATGCAGTGGTAGTAGTCACATTAAATAACACTTGGAATCATATAGAGCTTAGGTAAAATGGTATTGTTTGGGATATTTTTCCCTTTGTCATAATCTCCTACTTACAGATTTACTTTATAAAAATGATTTAAAAAAATGCATTCAATTTGCCATGTCAGATTCACTGTCACAAACTGGCCTTCCATGGGCACGCCTTTAAGCCTAGTCCCACTATTGTAAGCAGCATTTAACTGACATTCTAGCTCCATTAAAATATCTGTTGATTTTGGTTATCATAGCATTTGCTGTACATTAGCATCTAACTGATTCTACTGAGAGAGTAATTTTATGTCTATCATTATACTTACTGGCTTTTGGGAAAGAGGGAGAAGAGAACAGTTCAAACATTGTCAACTGTTTTGAATTCTTCACATTTCTGGATCATCAGCCCTGTCATTAAGTCTCTGTTTAAAATGCCAATTAATTTTTGTATAATCACAAGTGAGATACTAATTAGGATACTAATTAAGATCACATATAAGGACTTTTGAAGTAGAATATAACCAAGTCTTGATTATTCGTAAACTGCCTTAACCATTACATTAATGGTTCTGCTTTCAACTTCTTGGTGGCAGGGTTTCTTCACAGTGTAGATTATTTATGAACATTTTGTTCCAATGGCTGTTTCTTAAATATAAACTCTGTGTTACAAGGAGATAGAAGGAAAGAACACTTCAACTGAAACACCAGTAATGGAGAGAGCAAGAAAATTACTGCAAGTTGAATGTGCTCAGGAAAATGAATTTCTGGGTCCATGTTTAATTGAAATGTAAACACAAATTTAGCCTTTTATTGACCTTTGTTTTGTGGTTTGTAAATCATTTATATTCACCAACTTCCCCTTGGGAAATGTTTTCTTAAATAGTTTGCATTTTCTCTTCAGATTCTCCAAAGTAGCGGTAATATAGCATACCCTAAGCTAAAAAGAGTTATAGTACTTGATGGCAGGAATCCACCTTGTGGGTTGAAAGTTCAATCCATATCTGATTCGATATGTATATGTCCTCACTGATATTTATCATGTGTCTCTATTTTATAGAACTAAACTGAGAGAGCCCTTCCACTAAATAAAAACATAAGCCAATTTGTAATCAGTGGTACATTTGGGTTGCTTTGCTGTCCTCCACATGATGAGATGTATTCTTCCATAGTGATGTAATGAGGAGAAGAGAAACTTTTGGATAATGTTCTGGACCCATGGTTGGGAAACTGCAGCTCGCGAGCCACATGCGGCTCTTTGGCTTTTCTACAAAATACCATGGCCTGGGCAAGTCTATTTTGAAAAGGTGGCATTAGAAGTTTAAGTTTAAAAAATTTGGCCCTCAAAAGAAATTTTAATTGTTGTGCTGTTGATATTTGGCCCTGTTGACTAATGAGTTTACCGACTACTGTTCTGAACAATTAGGAAGATGTCAAAAAAATAGGTCAACATATCAGAATGTTAGTTATGGGGCTAATTATTAAGTGACTCAATGACAGTTCTGCACCTTGCAGTTTCATGGATTATAAATGGTGGTATGACCTCTAAATCCTAATTTTAGGAAAACAAAATTTGATGTGTAAAATGTGTCGGAATAATCATAGCTTATATTGACTTACATGTTTACAATGCTAGTATTGCCACTGAGTTTATAAATCATTTCATTTAAATGGTATGTTGCAACATGCAAGCTCCTGTATATGTCTTGTAAAATACAAGAAACTATATTAACCACTCATTTTTTTGTATGCCAGATTTCACAAAGTTGAACTTTAATCCAGCCATTTAGTGTTTGAGCTATTACAAAAGTGAAGACATCAGTTCCAATTCCTCATCTCCTATGTGATACGGAGTCCTTCTGGCATTCGTTCTATTCCAGTAACATTGTTTTGGGGAGGCCCAACAACTGCTGGGGGAAAGGTGGGCGGGGAAGCCATTTAGGAAAGGTGCTCTCTGACTGGATCTGAGGAGTAAATGACACCAACAGTGATGATTGAAAAGAAGGGAAAAGTTTGGCATTACAGTAAGCTTGTGATTATTTGCTAAAAAAGAAGGGAAAATGGCTTACTAAGAGTGCTGACTTGGGACTGCATGCCAGATTTAAAGTTTCAGTTTCAGGAAATAACTTTGCCCTCTCTCCTTTATGACTGTCTTTTTTATTTATTTATTTATTTATTTATTATTTTATAATTGTAGTGCTTATTGGACTTTAGGAATGAAATAGTGAAGGAAATGGTGATATTGTTAGAAAAGGAACTTAATTAAATAGAGCCACAAGTTATATGAAGAAATTAAAAGCAACATTCATACTGGCTTGTCTGCAAGTCATGAATAATTGACTTTGACTTTTGAATTATAGAAATAGGATTCATTCATTTTAATACGATTCAATAATAGTGAGAGGTGACTATAGGAATTAGAATGGTCTTGCATCTGTGCTATTTTATGAGGAGGGAGAAGAGAAGCGCACCGACGAACTTCATCAGAAGTTAGTGTGTCTCAGTTTGGAGTTATTGAAATTATTTGGGGCAAAATGCTCAATGTGCAATATGTTACCAAAATGAACCTTTAAATTATTTAGATATTTGACTTTAAGAGAATCCTAATAAGAAAATTGTAATTTTTTACAATATTGCAATCTTTTTGAAATGGAACTTTAAAACAACTTTAAGGAATTTAAGCTAACATTTCTTCTTGGAGTACTGAAAATTATACTTTAAAACTCTTCCATAAATTAATATTAGCACTTTATCCTGTATAATAAAACCCTAATGTGCAAATTGACCAGACAGCAGAACGACCAGTCGCTATGACATGTACTGACCACCAGGGGGCAGGAGCTCAACTCAGGAGCTTCCTTTGGGAGATCAGTGCGCTCCCATTGGTCAGCCAGCAGCCAGGCTTATGGCTGATGCAGTGGCAGAAGCCTCTCCCACCTCAGGCAGCACTAAGGAGCAGTGAGCCTGGGTTCTGGCTGGCGCGCACAGCAGTGGTGGTGGTGGTGGTAGCCTCTCCCGCCTCAGGCAGCACTAAGGACCTCTCGAGGGATGTCCACCTTCCGACTTAGGCCTACTACCTGTGGAGTGGGCTTAAGCTGGCAGTGTACATCCCCTGAGGGGTCCTGGACTGTGAGAGGGCCCTGGCCAGGCTGAATTCTTAGTTTTATAATAAGGATTATGGAGTGTCTGTAATGAGCTGACAACCCTGCTAGGAGTTTTCTGTACATGTATTACATTATCACACAGTAGCCTCCCCACGTCTGATCGTAGTGTAGTCTGTTACAGGTGAGGAAAAAGTGAAGTCATCTGCTCCATAGTGTGAAATGAAGTGGCAGAGCCAGGGTGTGAACCCAAGTGTCTGGTTTGTCTTCCTGGACCCTTGCCCTTGCCTTTGCCTGCTTTTTCCTTCAGCCTCTCCTGGAGGCTTACTGAACTATGTGATAGAATGACCTTTGAAGTTTACTGGGTCATTTCTATCCAATCTGAATGCAGCCAATTTTAGTCTCCAGATGGTTAATTCATCCCATGCTACTGTCTAATACAGGGGTTGGGAACGTCCAACCCATGCGCCATATAGGTCCCATGAAATCTGGTTTGGCCCTACCAAGGCATTAGGGGTGAGTTAATTAAATGTTAATTAAATATAGCAGGCTAATTTTTAAATTTTGTATGGCCCGTGAATGGTGTGATAAGGAACCAAGTGACTCTTGGCAGAAAAAAGGTACCCCATTCCTGGTCTAATATGTACTTACAGTATACCATTCACTAGGTCAGTAAGTACCAATTGTCCTTGCAGAAAGAGAAGAAATCATTTGCAAAAGATGAGACTTGATGTAGCCAATAGAGATGACGCTATCAGGCTAGTGACAATTGAAGACCTGTTACCCAAGACAGGGAAGACTCGGCCTAGTACTTAGCAGTGTGAAGGTGTTGTCTATAAAGAGCTGCCTATTTAGGGAAGGAGCTACACCCTCCTGATACAAGGTAACCAGTGATGGTGTCTTGCTTGGGAGATACATTGTGTCACTTAGATTGAAATAAGTTACAATTTTAAGGAAGACTGTTTCCAATTGTTAATTTTACTTTGAGAGTAGTGTTTAGAATCTTTGGAAGATAGTAACAGAATGGTTATGTATTTTAGGTTATGGAAGACTTGCCACAGTAGAGAAACATTTTCTAGAATAAGAGCTTAATCATTAAGGAAACTCTAGATTGTTCAGTGTCTCTATTTCCTAAATCTGTAAAGACTTATTAATCTACATTTATGGAAATTGTACCAGAAGGCTCTTTCAAAGAATGCTCAAGACTTAAAAATAAGCTTGTTTTGTACATTTGCTAATGAATCCTTTGGTTCTACATTGTTTCAGAGTTTTTGCCTTTTTAATTTTATAGATACAGTAGAGGCCCAATTCACAGATTCGGGCACCAGTGTGGTCCCTTGGCCTGGCTTGTATCCCCTCGCAATCTAGGACCCTTTGGGGAATGTCGGAGAGTCATTTTCGGCCCAATCCCCCCAGTCCAGGCTGAGGGATCCCACAGGGCTTCAAGTATGCTTATAAGATTTTTGGTTAATCTCTTCCTGCCCCCTCCCCCTTTCCTCTGAGATTCATCACTCTGTTCCATGTCTACATGCCTGTGTGTTGAGCGTCAGCCCCCTGGTGGTCAGTGCGTGTCATAGTGCATGTCATAGCAAACAGTAAAACGGTCACTTACATACAGTATATAGACTAGAGACCCGGTGCACAGATTTGTGCACCAGTGGGGTCCCTTGGCCTGGCCTGCGGGGATTGTGCCGAAACTGGCTCTCCGACATTCCCTGAGGGGTCCTGGATTGTGAGAGGGTGCAGGCCAGGCCAAGGGACCCCACTGGTGCACAATTGGGGCCAGAGAGGGACTGCAGAAGGCTCCAGGGAGTGTCCAAAAGCCCAGTCCCAATCAGCTGGACCCCAGCAGCAAGCTAACCTACTTGTTGGAGCATCTGCCCTCTGGTGCCATTATAGCTACTGGTCGAACAGTTGCTTAGGCTTTTATATATATATATATCTGCCTGCTTGGAATGTTCTGTTGCAGTTATTGAAGAAACCACTAGGTGATGCTAAGAGACTTGAATTTCAGATTGTGGAAGAACAACAGTGAAATGGCATTTTTACCTGCTTGCTCCTTAAAATACACAAACCAAAAGTAATGGCCAGAAGTTGGCATCCATTCAAAGGGAGGGCTGATTAGAAACTAAAGATTTCTGTCTAACCAATGCATGCTGTTTCCCAGCTGAATGTTGGAAAGAAGTCAGTCAATTTTAACTTGGATCTGTTCTCTAAATTCCAGAGGGTTTGAATGTTTCATTCTTCAGGAGTGCAGATTACTCTGGGTGTGGAGCTTAGTTAAGCATATAAGAGGAGATGACTTTTTAGTGGATCTTAGAGCAGTTCATTCTTGATGTTTTTGTATCTGCTTTTTCAGAGTGGAGTTAGCTTTATAAATTATTTTTTTGTTTAATGATATGAATTTAAAGTGTTTTTGGTTATCTATAAATATATTGGTTATTTTGTGTTTTGAGTCTATTAAAACAGCCGACATGGAAGGGAGTTTTAGATCTTTTATACATGTCCTTGGCCATTTCTTTCCATTTCCCCCCCAGTGTCTATGTTGAACAGGAATTAATGTCATCAAGCCCCTTCTCCACCTCCCTCTTGGACCTTCACCCCAAACCCTCATCCTAAAAGACTTTGCCTCCTATGTCCTTGAGACCCTGAAACCTGCTTCTGTCCCCACTACCAGTTTAAATTCCCTGTCCTTCTGGATCACTGTTACAGATTCTGGCCTGTCCCGTAGACATGTGCTCCTTAGGATTCCATTTCTGAGCCACTGCTTCTCTTGCTGCACGTGTTGTCCAAATGCACACTTCCAGCCCTAGCTGCAGGGGCCTGGTGTATGTTAAGTGTAGATATGTACTTGCTGATCTGTGATCTGTGGCGTCATCTGGGTACCTCTTCTCAGCACCTCTAAAAAGCAAACTCATTATCTCATCACAGTACAGGACAAAAAGTAATCCACTCATCTTGTTATATTTCTGTGGACAGAAGGCACTGTTACCCCAGCTGGGGACGGGCTTCTGGTGTCAGCTGCCGTTCGTTGTCATCAGCTCTGGCTGCCTCAGGGTTTTATCCAGTCCTTAGATTGGGCTGAGCATTCCTTCCATCGATCCCTTTCAGCTTCACCTGCCCTGTGATGCCCCTTCCTCACTGGCTGCAAGCTCTCCTGCAGCAGGGCCGGCTCAGCCACTTCCACCCATCTCCGTGCCTCCAGCAGCTGGTGCCCAGATGGCTCTGCAAAGGGCAGCGTGTCGTTTAGCAGAGGTCCTGTGTTAGGAAGGCGGTTGCTTTTGAGTTTTATATTCCATAAAAACTTAATTGGTTCTAGATATAAAAATGCCATGACGAAGATTTATAGGTGTCCTGCTGGATGCCATTTGGGATTGATGCTTATTTGAAAATGCAGGGGGTTTTGTAGTGTTTGTGTTAACTAATTGCCCTTCTTGGCACACATTGGAAAATAAGACTTGTGATAATATGGCTCTAAGACAAGATGGGAAAATCTGTTGTAAGTAGATCTTAACCTGTGGAGAAGAGTTAATATCTGAAACCTTAGAGTAAAAGGATTTTAAAGTGGAACCCGTTGTCTCCTGAGAAGAAAGAGCCCAGCTTCTGGAGTCAGGCCGACCCAGGTTCACGTGTCAGTTCAGTTATGTGACCATCAATTACCTGACTCCTCGACCTCAGTTTTCTCACCTGTAAAATTGGAGTGATACTGCTGTTTGCTGATAGGGTTAAGATGATTATGAAAAATACAGATAAAACAGCACAGTGCCTGCTGCATGACCGCTACTATCTGTGCTGGGTGTTCTCTCATGGAGACTCCTGGTTCAGTTCTGTAAATGACCCATTACTCATCGAAGGCACAGTACTGTTCCTTGTAGTAAGAGAGGTAAGAGGAGCTTTGCCAGCTTAGTCCAATTGAATAGATTGCATTGGATTCTCTTGAGCCTATGATGTTTTCCTTTTTTATAAATGGGAAAAGTATTCCCCGTTCTTCCTCAGTTAGAGGAAAGAGGGCGTTTACTCTCACAGGAGAACCTGGCGGAGTGGGTCGATGTTAGAATTTTGCAAATAAGTTCCTTCATTTAATGCTTAAGTCTGGGACCAGCCAGAAAAGGCTTCTTTTGTTTGAGCAATGCCTTGGAGGGATGCTGCCATTAAATGTGTGCTCACCTAGTGCTGCTTTCCCAGCGCACAATGTAAAGTAAAGGGTGGCTGTGTGGTCTGGCCACACACACACTGCATTTCAGGTGCTGGGTGTGCTACCTTGCTCCTGTGTGATCACAAGCAACTATTTAACCTTTCAGGGCCTCGATTTCCCTATTGGTGAAAGGGAAAAGGAATGGTACTCCTGGACTAATAAGGATTAAGTACAGCCAGTTAACATATGTAAATTGTAAAGCACTTGCTAAGTGTAGACAGTGTCTATAAATTGTAGCTGTTACTATTACAAGTTTCAAAATGACATTTCTGAAAAAAACATTTAAAGTATTGTATTTAATTTTAAAAATCATTACAGCATTGTATAAGGATGGCATTTAAAGCTATTTTAAGACTGTGAAGCAGGGAGATGTCCATGGGTGAAACCCAAAGACAAGAAGCTTGTTTCTAAATGGAATACGGGAGTTCCGGCGTACAAAACAGTCCTAAACTCGACTTCTAATGGAAAACATAGTTTAGTTTGTAGAAGATAGCAGTCCCCAAAACACAGTCGTTGAGCACCCATTGTGAGGTGTTGTGTGCTGGAGTAGTTGCTGGTGGTTCGTTCAGACATGGAGGAGACTCAGACTCTGCACGGAACCCCTTAATAGCCAGCGTCTCCAAAACCATGCTGCTACCGAGGCAGGCCTAGCTCTCAGTCTTTAAGAGGAAAGGCTGTGCTTTTTTAAACCCTCTAATACTAACATTTGTTCCTTATTAAAATAGTTATCATGCTTCCTAGTTATATTCCCACAAGAAGACAAATGGTGTTTGGGAGAACTTTTTAAGAATTTTAATCATTAAGTAATGTACATGATGTTGAATGGAGTGAAGCTTTAACTCCATATGCCTTTTCTTTGGATATGTGCTTTATTGGAGGGGTTTTGAACACTCTCCCGGATAGAGCATAAGAATTTGCTTCAGTGTTACTCACTAGATGTCATTAACTTCTTACATATGCTTCTTTACTCTTTCAGAGTTACTGGAGAATGTAACCCTAATTCATAAACCAGTTTCATTGCAACCCCGTGGACTGATCAACAAAGGAAACTGGTGCTACATTAATGCTGTATCCTTCTTAGATGCTGTTCCAAGGCCGACTTACTAGAGTTTTCTCATCCTCAGCCTCCATGAGGCATCTACCCTAACATTTGAATCCAGAAACGTGGTTCCTTAGTTTGCCTACCTTGCCTCTAAACAGTGTTATTCCTCATGCTCCAGAAAGATTTGTTAATCTGGTAATGACAGAATCAGGCAAGTTTTCTTAATAGAGTGGTCCCAAATGCTAGGGCAGAGTGACCATTTACAAATGGAAATTTTGTTTTCATTGATTTATCTTGGTCGAGTCAAGTTCTTGTATGTAAACTGCTGATTGCAGAGTAAAACCTTAAGTGGGTATCAAAAGGCAGTTATTTGGTTTATTCCCTTTTGTGTTTACATATCTAAGTTGTTCAGTGTCCTTGGCTTACTTAGTTTTATGTGCTCTTGTGCCTGATGTACTGTTTGGAAAGTCGGTGTGCCTGTTTCCTTTCCTTTACACTTCCTTACTGCCAATATTTAGACACTGCAGGCACTAGTTGCTTGCCCTCCGATGTATCACCTGATGAAGTTCATTCCTCTGTATTCAAAAGTGCAAAGACCTTATACGTCAACACCCATGATAGACAGCTTGTAAGTAAGGTGCTTAAAAATGTATTGAAGGGGAATGGGATTTTCCCCCTCCGATTATTAGAATTCAAATAGTTTAGCAAAGTGTTGATTTCCTGCAAATGAGTCCTATGTTATTTTTAAAAAATGTAGTATTCATGATTTTGTATGGAAGCTAACCAGAAACGGAATTGGAGCATTATTTATCTGTTTTCTTTAGATTCTGTGGAATAAATTTTAGTGTTTACCAGTTTATCACTTAAAATATACCAAAAACTTACATAGAAAAGATTTAAGAACTCACTAGTTATAGCATTGGCTGCCTAAAATTTGCTATCTTCATACTAATTAATATTCTGCTTAGC